AACTTAGGGCTTAATAAATAAAGTAGTTAGGGTGCTGTGATTATTCATGGGCAGTCAGTAAGAGATAAAAGGTCTTTGAACTAATTTTCATGGAAAGAGCAGAAGCCACTGTTCCATGATCAGGAGCAGAGAAACATTGAAAAAAGATTTTTAAAGCAGTATCCAACCATGGGCATCTGATCTAGCTTTTCCTAGTTTCGTGACGTTCCTTTGAACTAAACTATAACTTTCACAATATTACTAATTAGATAAATTACAATTTATTCTGGAGATAAAGCCAGGGAAAATTTACCTAAGAAACATTATAAAAATACTGCATTTATTGCAGGTTGCAGGGCCACCATTCAAAGCCAATACTTTAATAGCCTTTACCAAGCTATTAGGAGCCCCTACGCATATTCTTCGGGATTGTGTACACATCATGAAACTAGAGCTCGTAAGTCCATTTTGTTTTTCATCATTATTGCAAATATTTTCTCTAATTAAATTGAAAGTGGATTATTTATCTATTTCAATGGCATATTTTATTAATTAGTTTCCTGACCAGGCAAGCCAGCTGAAATGGAATGTACAGTTTTGTTTGACAATTCCTCCAAGTGCTCCACCAATTGCACCTCCAGGAACACCTGCTGTTGTGCTGAAATCGAAAATGTTGTTCTTTGTAAGTAAAATAATGGGTGCTAATGCTGATGGTTCTATTTGGTGTGGTCTTTAAGAACACATGTAATAAAGTTAATTCACTGCTTTATCTGAGCTTAAGTATGACTAGTATAACCTATATTAATAACATCTTTTGAAAGAAGCATAAAACCTTTTTGGAACTCGTCTAGTTTCTTAGATTTAAAAAATAGTTCCTATTTAATTTGTTATGATTAGCACATACATTTATGAACAGCAACTTCCAGAATTCCAAGCAGCAGGGGGAAAAAAACGATTAAATGGCACCTATTTTCTTCTGAAATATAGCCTTTTAACCTCATATATGCAGACGTAGCTATTATCAGCAACTATAACAAGCTCTAACAATAATAAAATGGCACCTGCATCATGATGCAATTGATACAGATACAAATGATACAATTACATACATATATTGCATCATTTGTATGAGATTATGGTGCATGTATCATTATTTGCTCATCTGGCTTTTCCATGAACACTTGTGGTAATTCTTTACTAGAATTATTCAGTTATATATTCAAAATTAAATGTATGATCTTAAAACACTGTATGGATGCAGAATTACTATGGTAATCATTGTATATATTATTCTGTTTGGCAGCTTCAGCTAACACAAAAATCTGCAGTCCCACAAGAAGCCATGAGCATAATCGTTCCAATCATTTATGATATGGCTTCGGGGACCACACAGCAGGCAGACATTCCCCGGCAGCAGAACTCTTCAGTTGCTGCTCCCATGATGGTTAGCAATATTCTAAAGAGGTTTGCAGAACTGAATTCACCACGGCCAGGTACTGTACACGTGCAGTAGGTCAAATCATCTGCATGCTTGAGTTGCTAGAGTCTCAACAATCACACTTTAAATATTGCACTTTATCATGAAATCTTGCTTTGCCTTCATTGGTTTTATTAAAGCCTGGTTTTAATTAATGCATGTACATGATAAACTGTCTGAATATACTACTCTGTGGTGTCAGAAGGGTTGTATTATTGACATGACATGGACTTTATATTATTGACCAAGGGAGTGTAATGCACTTGATGATTTGACTTATACTACTGTGGTCATAGTTACACTATTTTAGGCATTATCATGTGACTTTCTATATGTACTTATGTAAAAAATGGCACTTGTTAGTCATCCTGCACTATAGGAATATATCTTCCCATTTATTGGAATTTATTTGTTATGAGGCTGGTTGCCTAACTTGTTCTCATTCGTACTCTTTCAAGGAAAGTTGGGGAGCTAGCAAGATGGACCGATTTATAAATTATTTATAAAACACCATATTATAGTACTAGCTTTATTTTCTGTATTTCATAACTAACATCTTGCCTTGATTGTATTTCCTCTTCTGTGCTGCCTTCTTTGTTTCTGTGAGATGCTTTTGTATTCCATTTATCTTTTTCCCTTAATAAAAGTGTTAGAAACTTTTGAAATGCACTTTTTTCAACAGTTTTATTTTTGGGTTTGCAGTTTCTGCCCAAGACAATAATCTCTCAGATGATTTCTTCTTTTCTTGTTAACTGCTTTTGGGCTTGGTTTGAAATTACAAATAATTATATTGGTTTTATAGGGTAGTATTATCATACTAATGAGCACTGATTCTAAAATTACATTATATACACCACGACTATATGCAAGCAGTTTATAGGATTGAGGTGTTATGAATGGTGCCTCTTCAAATGCTTGCCTTTATTTTTGGTAATACTCCATCTGAACCTCTGATCGTCATGGAGGTAAATGACTTTGGGACAGTTAGCCATATATTTCCATCAAGGTATATGGTTCAAGGTGAATTATCCAACATTCATGCATGCTTCAGAGAGCAGCTTAACTGTGAGTTACTTAAGCAATGATGCTTTTGGGAAGGGAAATGTGGTTATAGTTTGTAATTGAACAATTAGTGGGGCATTGGTCCCCTGACACTACATTTAGGGCTTATCCAAAACTGGAAAAAAATTAATGCCTTCTAAATGGAAGCTTTGAGACAACTCCATGGCTACTTTTCATTGCTTTATCATTTTGAAATAGTAAGTTGAAGTCCAGTGTACATTTAAGTAACATACATACTCTCTGCTAGAAACCTTCCTATGTTATAAAGGCTTCATGTATTGTATTGCTTAAAGGGTAAACACAGCATCACTTTCAAAAGCTGTGGACATACAGTTTGTGGATTTTTTGCCTGGTTAAAAATAAAAAAAGCATTCTGCTTTGAGTTATCACTTTTGAAATTGTGGATTTCTTTCGTCTTTGAGACTCTTGTCAAGAAAAGTGTTGGGATTCTCCTAGAGTTTTTTTAATGGTTTGTATGGTGTTGATATAATTAATTCCAAATACTACTGACTTCTTATTCTGATTTAATAACTTTTTCATTTGAAGATTGAAAATATTAGAGTTTAATAGTTAATGTAACTATTAACAGCAATGCCAGCAGTAGCTGTCAAATTGTTTCACACTTTCTAATATCAAAAGTACTATTCAGTATTATTAGTATGAATTGGTCATTCTTTAGCAATATCGTTTAGTGTTCACATTTCCTTTAAGGAGCACAGGATATACCTGGGAGACTGAGAAAAATATTTAAGCCAAACAGAATTTGGTTTTTGGCTCTTTTAAATGCACGATCTTTCCTGCTCATGGAAAATCTCATTAGCTTGGTTAGGATGATATTTGTTCATATTGTGTATTATTGGTATTTAAAAGACATACCTTATGTTTTCTATACCGATTGGACACTTTCTAGTAAGTTAGAACAAAGCAGTAGTATAGACCATTAGAATTCTGTTTATGGTGCATAAATTGTATATTTGTTATTGTTACAGTTGTTTGTATTTTGTATTTACCACTGCCATAATGTCTCTTCTCTAACTTCTTTTTCTTTCCCTTGTTCTAGGTGAGTGTACAATCTTTGCAGCTGTTCGTGATTTAATGGCTAACCTTACATTGCCCCCTGGTGGGCGCCCATAGGCTTTTATACAAAGGGTAAAAATGAGATGAAATGGAAAAACTCTGAAATAAAGCCTTTGGTTACTTAGAATGGAAGAGACATTTTCACATGTCACAATTTTAAAAGAGCTGATACAATGGATTGGCCTACTTTCAGGGATGCACTTTCATCAGTTTTTTTTCCTTGGTACAGCACTCTTAAAATGTTTTAAGACATTTCAGACTCATAATAAATGTATGTATCCACTTACAAGTAAAGAGTTAATATTCTGTTTTATACTTCAAAGATTATGAAAATGCCAAATTGTTTATTTAAATGTTTTTTTCTGATGTCTTGGTGTAATAGTCTTTTTTTAAAGCAGAGCTGTCATTTTTTGAATACTGTAAAACTATGAAAAACTTTATATTGAAACTGTATTTTAATATTACTGCTTTGAAATGTTAAAATGGACTTGTTATAAACTTGTCCAAAAAAGCAATATTTAATAAACTAGATTTTTTAAAAAATAAAGGGTTATTTTTAAAATGCATTTATATAGGGAAAAAAATCTGGATGGCTGTTCTTTTCCTCAACTTTATTGGTCTCAGACAGTACCTTGCTGTCAGCTATCTTGAGTTCTAGTACCCAGTGCACCTTCTGTCCAGCTTTTTAAATTTATGCAGTAAATGATAGATGAATTTTAAACAGATCCTTTTTAAATAGAGCAATTTTTTTTTATTGGATATGAGGGAAAAGGTGAAAATCATATTCAGTATTGCTAAATGAAAACTAAAAATATACTGTGTATGGGTCATTCATCCAAGGGGAATAATAAGAAACCTGTTTGAAATAGCATCTTAAAGTGATTGTTCCATATTGCAGCTGTATTTTGTCAGTTCATTTATTGTGTCCAACTGTTGGACATCTTAATGGCATGAAAATCTGCATGTGTATTGAATTTAGGTTTACCAGATATCTACACAAACACAGGAACAATGGAAAGATGGACAAATGGGAGAAGAAGGCACACTCTTTCTTGCCATCTGTTACAAAAATTATGGTGAAAAACTGCAAAAACAAAATGTATTTAGGTCTACATGTATATGAATATTTTCCAGCATCATAAAGCCTGGTTTTTGAATTGCAGGAATAGGCGAGATAGGCGAGAGCCAGTTGGATGCAAAAGCTTTCCACAGTAACTGATTTAGCTGGCAACAGGGTACTACTAATCAAGCAATAAAAGTCAGCGCTGAGTTTGGTAACTTTCAGTTTCTGCTTACTAGGGAAGCATGCCTCACCAAGAAAAGCTGCTTACAAAAAATATACCTGTTAAAATACTCAACACACTGGACAATATTTATTTTTAAAGCTGCCTGCTGAATATAGGACATGAGGACTAAAAAGAGAACATACCCTTCTGTTGCTAGACGCCAGGTAACGCTAGTTGAACTCAAGAACTAAATTAAAACAGTACTGTAATTTCCTAAAAAGATGGAAGTGGACAAGATCTCTACATCAGCCTGAGTAAGTGCTGGTGCAGAATGCAAAAAGAAAAGCCAGCTTTTTACATAGAGAGTAAATGAAAGCCACATACATTCAGAATGGAAACATGCCTGGAGGGTTAGAGAAATCAAACATCCAAGGAGGACATCGAATTAGGGAAGGCTGTGCTTCAGTAACTTTGGTGTTCTGTTCTGTGTAGGGTACTATTTTCCAGATAATTACTTGGACAGGGAATTATCCTGAAAACGTAAAGGTAGAATGCAGTTCCCCTATTGGGTCTCATGCGAAAGAAAGATTGGATTGCGGAGAGATGACTGCTAAATCTTTGAGAATCGAGTACTGGCTATTTTCTTGAGGAACACTATGAAGTAACTATTCGAGGAGGACAAGGGAATCTGAATGCGGATTGTTAAAAGATTGCCGAAGGCTTCCGGCCTTTTTCATGAAATGAGGACAGAAATCCGCCCCGCTTTTTCACAGCTTAAGTCTGGCTATTCCCTGGCGACGCGAATACAGGCTGGTTCTGGTGGAACTGGCTCCGCAATTCAACTGCGCCGAATATAAAAACTAGTTGAAGGCCGGACACATCCGCCTCCTGTTGAAAGTTGCTCTGCAGCGCTTCGCCAATGAGCAAATTCACACCTTCCACCGCCAGATTATCGCCAGCGACTCAGCTCACTTAAAGTCCTTCAGGTTTTCGATGTGGTGGGCAAGCAGGTGAGGCTTCCCACCCCGGACCCAGAGCTCTGGCTGTCGCAGGAGCGGGTGGGACATCGCGCTCCGTGGCCTCTGCAGAATAGATTGTCCCCAGTTTGCACTGAATTTGCCTGGGTTGGATCCTTCTGGGACGTAGACTCTTTCGGAAACAATCGACACCCGTTCGCTAATTCATTCCTGAAGAATACTTGCGCCTTTGTTTGCCACCATCGCAAACTTGCATCTTTCCTCCATCTGCTGCTGGGAAAGATGCAAATCCTGTCCAGCAACCTCCAGGAGCTTGAGGGGTCTTGAGGGAAGGCTGCATTAGCCATTTTAATTCCAATTCTGCCTTTTATTCGGCGGCTTTCTTCTTCATCCTTTTTTCATTGTTAGGAATATACTCTTCTCCCCGAGAGAGGGGGATTTTGCGCCTCTCGCCACTCCTCCTCTGCTCTGCTTCATTCTTAACCGCCTTCTCATGGCGCCGCCCACATAAACACATGGGAAGATGGGGTAGGCTTGCCAGAGGAAGTCTGGGTGGAACAAAGAATTTGGCCCACCAACCAGTGCCGCCTCTTGTGAAGGGAGTAAAAAGCTTCCTCCCGCTAAATATTCACCATTTGCCCTTTCCTTTTACATAGCATGTGGTAGATTCTCCATAATTAATTAGAATGGAGGGCAGGTTCTCTAACTGGCCACTAGTTTCTGGACATGATTTCCAAGTTACAAAACTGAAACTCATTTTAATTCCTAGCCCTCATAATAAATATTTAGCTTAGCAAATTCTATTTCAGCAATTCCAAAATTAGTGCAAAAGACATAATAAAGACATGAATATCTCTTATGTGAAAATATCTAGAAAAATTATGTAATCATATTTTTAGGTCAGAATTGACACAACAAAACATACACAACAGTAATGGTAAGAATACTTACTATTCTTTTAGCTATTGTTTTTTTTAAGGACCATTGAAAAGATTAAGTTGTTATATGCCAATTTATATTCCATGGCAGTTTTTCAAAGTGTTCTTAACTATCATCAATGTGAAAGCCTTCACATCTACTCTTCTTTATTCAGCAGAATCACACAAGTTTTTTTATACATCCAAATGCAGGTTATGATTTGCATTCAAAGGTGAGTTTGCAAGTGCATTGAAGTATGCAGAGATTAAACATGATTTGCTGAAGATTTTTATCACAGTGTGATGAATCGATGGACATTTTAAGATATAAGACTGGATGCACTGAGTTAAGATTGAAAGATTGAAAGACATTTAATGGCAATTTTTAAAACCAACTCATTTTTGGTAAAACAAAACAATTTTCAACTGGTAGTTTGTCATAAAGTTTTAGAGACATTTTCCACAGAAATATATAGAGGACCCTATTGGATGCCAGTGTGGAACACGTACGAGTAGCCCATTAAAATTACAGATGTTTGTTGCCTCAGCACCTTTGCCTTTCTTTTTCTTTTGGAAATATTTTTTGTCCTTTCAATTGAAAAAAAAATCTAAAATAGTCTTGGTGATTTCCTTGGGTAAAGGATTGTAAGCATCTGAGATTGGATAGTTGTTTATATTGGTGTTTATTTTGCTTTGCAGTTTCAACCTATCTGCTTCTTATGTAAAGAATGGAAAAATGAGATTTTTGAACCATCACACAAATAAAATGGGGGAGTTTTATTGGGGGAACTGCAGATCTTGGCTCTGGCTTTCTAATTCATGGGAGCTGGCAAAGGTAATACAAGATAGTTATCACCACATAATATAAATTTCAAAAATGGAGCAATTGGTGTGTGTGTGTGTGATTCTTTTCTGATACTCCCAAGGAGAGATTAAAATACACGGGCATTGATGTAAGATTGTTATACAATTACATTCTTAGCTATGGATAGTATGTGCATTGCCACATCGTGCTTTGGAGCTTCTTTCTATTAGAAGATGTAACAGCACCTGGGTGTCATACAGTACAATTTGTAGTAAAGATAGGTTGATGTAGTGCTCCAGATTTAGTTCAGAAGGTATTTCAAAATGTGTAGGAGTGCATTGTAACATCTATGTGCCCCTCATTAGAACAGTCCATTTGTTTTGAAGTGCTCCTTTGAAGTGAATCCAGAGGGTTGCACAATTTAATATTATAAATACACCAGAAAGTCTCCAATCTTCCTGGATATTGCTACACTGATACCCTGTGTGTTTAAGTGCAGAGAGAGAAAGATAAAGCCCAAATATGTTAGCCTGCTCTGCCTACTGACCTTTGGAATATAATTATGTTGGATTTCAACCTCCTATAATTCTCAGCAATATGAAAGACCCACAAAGACTGTCAGTAAGATTGTAAATAGGAAAATGACAGCTGCAAAAATAAATTGAGGCAAATCCACTTTTCTTGTGAACAAGAAACCTAAGATTACAACCTGTTATTGCTACCTGCATTCATTTGATTAATCTTATTATCTGATATAAAGCTCAGTTATAAAATTGAGAGGGTTCCAAGTGTTGGAAATTACTTAAGCCAACAAAAACTTGGATCAGTGAAAACAGAGTTTTTACTTTAAGCTTAAATCAAAGCATAAAAGAAAAAGCTATTTGCAAAGAGCAGTGGTATCTCAGCTGACCTCAATATGAAGTTTGAGCCAAGCCAACACCTTAGATTTCAAAGCATTACAATTTATTCATTTCTATCCCAACGCCTCCCTGCCCCTCCTACATCGGATCCATTGGCCGGTCACAGCTAATCAGAGTCGCTTTTGGAGACAACAGTATCTCCTTCTTTGTTCTTTTTTTTATTTTCTCATATTACATTTCCATCAACACCTCCCCATAAACATAGTTTGCCTATGTGGCTTTTTCTTAGCTTCTTGGCATAACGGAATGTCCCCTCAGCCTGGCCTCTTTGCTAGCAGTCCTAGAACAAAGGACTATTTCTAACACTGCTACATTTTAGTTTTGATCTCTCTCTTATTCCTTACAAATGTAATACACCTATAGCAAACAGGACTACGAGGCAAGCAGATTCCTCAAATATTAATTATATTGGACATATATTGGCAACAGCTGGTGAAAACCAACTCTAAATGTTCCTGCTGTTTTCACCTAATTAAAAATAACCCCCCCCCTCTTCCCAAACAATTAATCCATCCAAGTAAGAATTTATTAGAGAAGTCATATTGGCACATCTGGGGAAAACCTGAATCTGAATTCACACATTTTCCCCTGCTACACTAAAACTCACACCCAGCCTCTCTTATTGATGATCCTCAAGTCACACTCTCCAATCTACCTCAATTCTGAATTCCTGCCAAGTCCAGTCACTCCCCTCCAAACTCCAGCGACTCGACCTTGAGCTCTGGTGACAGAATGTTGTGGCTATCCTCCCTTCTCACTACTCTCTCGTTCCCACAGTTACCCATCCCCTCTTGTGACAGCCCCAAATCTGAATCAAGATGGATCCGGGGCTGACAATTAGATCAATGTTGTGAGTTCTTATCCCTGCTTTAACCCACATGGACATTTCAGGTTGTCTTTCAGGAGAACCTACACTGTGGTTAAAGTTGCGATGTTAATTAGTTGATTAGAACCCTCCCCTGATGGCATTGTTGCCTGAAACTGACAAGACCTTAATCAGTTTCACATCGATTGTCAATGGTAGGAAACTTAATCCTAAATGTGCACATTGATCAGAAAATTGCTAACTGAGGTAGCCACTAAGTGAGAAGTGGCAGTGTTTCTTCCTCGTCCTAATGTTTAGATATAAATAAATAAAATAAACAATATAATCAAATCTTGAACTGAACCTTTTGAAATAAAAAAAACCCAATCTTTTTCTTTTGTAATACTATGGTATGGAATGAAAAGTAAGGGACCGCAACATGAACACTTTACTTTCAATCAGATAATTTGATTTGCTAGGTATAGGTTTAAATCTGATTTGCTGTAGGATTTTCATTTGCATGCTTTGAGTTGGGAATGTTTCCTGTGGAGTGCTATGCATATTTCCTTGGGCAAAGATTATGGATGCAATCTAGAAAGTTTTTACTTCTTTTTTTATAATTATACTTTAATTGAACTTTTTTCTAAATTATTCATATTTTGTGAAAAGATGTAACATTTCTTTTCAGTAGTTTGTATATGCGTATAGATGTCAAATACCACATAGTATAATAAATGTAAGATTGATTTTTTGTGTGAGAAGGATCACTAAAAATAGTATCTTCCTTCATGGACTTTTGAATATATTTTCCACATGGAATTAGCTGGTAATATTGACAGCATTATGTTGTTCTGGCATAAAATTTGTGTAACTTGGAGCTGTAATTTAAGAACTGGATCTCACTTGCCATTGCCCATAGCAGATTTACAACATGATTTTGCTATATATTTATACCTTTAGGTGATAAAATGCTGCAATGAGCTAATGCATTCTGCAAATATGAAAGTCTCTTTTTCCCGGAGGAAAGAATTTGGAAATCATGTCCAAAATTTGCTGACTGAATTCTACCAGGTTCCCGAGGCTCAGACAGCTTGTCATAGGATAAAAAAGATAATAGTTGTAGATATTCTAACATTTTACATGGCTGCAATTATTAATATTTATTCCTTAGTTTGGCACTCTAATAAATATTGGACAAAATGACACTTGTATTTTATGGTCTAAAACAGTTTTTATGGCAACCTTTTTTCAGGACATAAAACCTGTTAGTTAACAAATTCCTAGAACCTCTGATCCTCAAAATAGCAGCTCTGGCTATTTTTGTGTGAAACAAGAGTTATCTTTTCCAGTGTTTCTTAGAAAAAACACTTTGGATGCCCTGGCTGCGTTGAATTGGTTTGTCTGTTTCTCGGTTGCCTAGAGTTGCCTGATGGCGAGATCAATGGCATATAAATTTAATGAATAGTCAATCATGGAACCCCTTAAAGTTCTTGTAGAATCTATTCTGTGGAGCACAGCTGGAAAAGCCCTAGTCACATGATGGTGAACCTATGGCATGCGTACCGGAAGTAGCACACAGAGCCATCTCTCCAGGCATGCCAGCCATTGCCCGTTGCTCTTCTGGGTTCCGGCGCACACAGGGGTGGGATTCTACCAGTTCGCACCTATTCGCTAGAACCGGTTGTTAACATTCTAAGCAATTTGGAGAACAGGTTGTTAGGAGAAATTACTGTCCTAATCCTGTAAGGAAGGCAGGAAGGAAACATTCTGGTGTTGCTTACAGAAACTGCCTCTCCGTTAACCCTTATTACATTCTTGGCAGGACTAGACTTCCTGTCTCCGGACCTTCTCTGGAGTTTTTTTTCCCTTCCTTTGCTGGTACTTTGCTTGTGTGGAGTGACCATTCAAAATTACAATGGCACTGAAAAAAGTGACATATGACTGTTTTTCACACTTATGACTGTTGCAGCATCCCCACAGTCATGAGAGGCCAGGTGAGGAGATGCGTGCCTTGATGTGAGTGATGTTGAGTTGGCCACGCCCAGCCAATAACATGACCACCAAGCCATGTCCACCAATTTAGCCACGCCCACAGAACCGATTGTTAAAAAATTTGAATCCCACCCATGGGCGCACACATGCGTGCCAGCCAACTGGTCTTTGCGTGCAGAGGAGCGCTGGAAACCGGAAGACCACCACTGCTGGAGTTGCAGGAGGCAGGAGTTCTTTCCCAAAGAGCAAAGAGACAGTGGAGCTTGGAATGTCTGGTGGGTAGGAAGAGAGCAACTCTCCTTAGATATAGTCTATTTATAGTTATTGCAGATAATCGCTTTAGTCTAGTAAGATGTTGGTTTGTAAGTGAATAACAAAGGAACTACTCAGGAGTAACTCCACATATCATTCTTGGTTCTTTGGGCCTGACATTTTTTCATCCATTGTTCAGTCAGACCATCTTCATTAGGGAAAAGGAAATGTTATGATAATTCCAGTGCCAAACAATCCCACAATTTTCAGTTCAGTTCTATAAAATAAAAAGGAAGGTAGGTTGGATTCTTCTACTCAAAATCCGGAAATGCAATTTTGATCCAATCCTGAAAGGCAGCTGTGCAACTGCAGTCTTTCACATGGGGATGTTTTAATGAAAAGTTCTCTTATTAAATCATTGAAGCCAAAGCTCTCTATAAAATGGAATATATAGGGGAAAGAGACATAGAAAACCACATCAAATTGGTTTAGTACAAAAGGCTAATAACACAAAATTCTAAATAATTAGTAAAACCAGTCTAACAAAATTAGTCATTGCCTCACTGAATAAATTCATTGTTTGGATACACTACAGATACACATGCCCTTCTTGCTCTTCTTTCTTCAATGCTTATCCTCAGTTTTACAGAATACAAAAATAACTAAAAGCCTTCGGGAAAGGGAGTAATGGCCAGCTGGGGAGGAGAGATGCGGCTCTCCTCAACCCTGCAGGCAGTCTCCCCTCTCTTCACCACCTCTACGGGGTGGCTTAGCCCCAAAACCAGCCGGCTCAGGACACTCCAGCGGCAAGCACGGATCGAAGCCTCGGAGAGATGAGGTTTCGGTCTGACGCCGAAGAAGCTCAAACCGGAAGTGGACTTTTGACTTTTGAGCCATACCATTCCATTCCATTCCACTCCATTCCTTTTTTCTTTCCCCCTTTATTTCCCCCTTCTCTTTCTCCTTTCTTTCCCCTTCCTATTTCTTTATTACCTTTATTTTTTATTTTATGCCATGATAATCTTAATAAAAATTAATAAAAAGGAGCCTTTTGTTTTAGAAGAGCTTCTTGTTCCACAACCGAAATAGGCAAATTCCTGGTGGAAAAAAGCCCATCACAATTCCACTCTCCACCTGCACTTTTATACTGGCAAAATTTCTTCCTCACCCACAGAAATAGGGATGGTTCCTTCACATTTGGGGTTGAGGGGCAGAGAATTGGAAGGAGCCGGTTCACACAGATGTTCTGAGCAAGAGAGACACATGTTTCAAGGAAGGAAATTGTGTTTTTCTCCCATGAAGCAAAGCTACGCCTTTTCCGAGAGTGGAGGATTCCCTCCGGAAGGAAGGAGGAGGGCTAGGAGGGATCCCTGAAGATCCTCTTTGCCTCTTCCTGATTTAGCTTCCCTTCGGATTGGGGGGAGTCTGTGACCCCCCCCAAGTCCTTGCTGGCTGTGGGGCTTCCCCTCCCCCCTTGTCATCCAGTGCAACTGTTCCTTCAGCAGAATCTTCCTCTGTGAAATGAAATGTGTGTCCTGGCCAGATGCTTCCAGCCCCAGAGAAGGAATCTGTGTTTCTGCACTGGGGGGAGGAAGCATTTATCTCAGACTTTGGAGGTGGGAAGGGGCAGAAACAGTGGCAGCACCAATGGGAATTCTCCTGGCTTGAGCATCATCGGTCTCTGGGCAGAGTCCTTTGTGACTTCACCGGAAGGAGGGAGAGTTCTGGGAAGAGAGAGAAGTGGAGAAAGTGGGAGGGGGGAATCTTGGCTTGAACTTGGGATTTTGTGCGCGGAACTCTCTCCTGCACTGGGTGAAGTCAACGGACACTATGCCTGGAGACCGATGCTGCTGCAAAAGGGAGAATTTTCATTGGTCCTTCCACTTTTCTGGGCATTCCTTATTCCGAAGTTCTCTGAAGCCCCATTCTGGGCTCTCTCGCTTTGCAGAGAGAGGGAGCCAGTGTGGAATTGGTCTGCCTGAGGATTTTTGAGACACGTTTTCTCAGCGGGGAACCTTCAGGAGGGGAGGGGTGTGTGGGGGGGGGCAGGCAAGGAAGGCCAGGAGGCCTTGAATCTGCTCTGTAATTTTGGTCTTTTACTCTGGTTTCCCAGAGTTTCTTTTATAAAATGTCTTTCCTATTTCCACCTCTGATAAGTGCAAGACAATAAACAGTTAAAGGTCACAGGCCTCCACTGGATATCAAATATTCCTTTCCTCCTCTGAAATTTCCAGGAGTCTAGGAGTCATTCTACCTTTCATCAGTAGATGGTGCTCTCAACTTACTTTTCAAAATAGATCTCAGAAGCAATTATTTTCGCAGCTTAAGCAATTATCTTTTTAGACTCTCTTATAACGGATTTTTTTATTTTCCTCGGGGTTAATTTTTAAGTAGAAAAAGAATCATCTTGCCCAGAAGCAATCATTGTTCATTCTCTTTGCTCCTGCATTTTCTTAGGTGCTTCGGCTGCCCCAGCTTCATGGCAGCCTCTTGACTGCCACTGCTCCTTGTCTTCAAATGAGGGGGATTTTCCAAACCAGGGAGATGTGGCTTTCCTCAACCTGCAAGGTGCCCTCTTTACTTCATCACCCCTACAAGGTGGCTATGACTTCTTTTGGAGCCCTCCGACAGGGAGAGCTGAGTGGGGCCGCAGAGCCTGCGGTCCTCACCTCCGACGCCACCAGAAGCATAGCCAGAAGTCCCATATAGTATTATTCACAATGTAATTTGGGATTAGCATATCTGCAACCATAACTTGTAAACTATGGGCTTACTTACAAATCACAATTAAAAATCATGATCTAATAAAGTGCCAAAACCTGGTTATATCCTACTTCTTTGAACCATTTTGTCTTGGCAAACTTTTCAACATTTCTTCCTGTATATAGCTCTTCATTAATAAAATTTTGTCAGAAGTCTCTTCTAGATAATTTCCTTTATGCCATTTCCCTCAAGCATTGTTTCTAATTTGTGTTTCCTTCAATTTCTTCTTAATTCACTAATTACTGAACTTATTTTAGCCGCCATATCCAACTTCTTCTTCTTAACAGTTTTTTATGCCTCAGCTTGTCTTCTCGAGCTGCTGCTGTCATTCAGCAATCTACTTTAAGGAGTGAAAAGTAGTATTTTCCTGAACACTGATTGTTCTTGGATTAATCAATAGAATCCATCATACAGAAATTCTTTACACTGAAGATAGTTCTGATTGATTGTATGTTTAGGGCTGTTGTCCTGCTGCAGAATAATTAAAATTCCCTGATGGTATGGCATGATGGATAAGTATCAATTTTGTTAATTGATAAAAATAACCTATTAAGACTTCTATTTCTGAAAGCATTCTTAATTTACAGCATTTTTGCACAACTGCCTAACACCTTTGCAAAATTTGCATTAAAAAGGACAAAAAACAGAAACACGTATACATATATTATTGCCCCAGTTGATTACTGATAAATATAATGCAACAATGTTGGTTTCTCCCCCTTGCAAAGCAGGCCAACAATTTATAAACGTCTACATCTATTTACAATCAACTTGGTCTGTCCTCTATATACTATATGAGAAAACAAAACTAGTTAACAGCTAAGTCACTAGCAAAGTTAAACTTCAAAGCCCTTTGTTAACAATCTGTTATTGTATTTAGCTCATAGAAAGTCTACAACAGCTTATCTGTTATCAAATTACCATAGTCATGATCTCTGATCCATCCAGGATCAAATATCTTCTTTAATAAAACTTTCCTTTAAAATTTTTATCGGGGCCTTTCTCAACGTTACCACATCTTCCAAAATCCTAAACCTCTGTTGCAAATATCTCCACCACATCCATGGTTGAGACAGTCTCTCTATAAACTAAAATACAAAATTTCTTATCAGTTGTTATCTGGTTATATATAATGCCCTGGGCTGCAATATGGAAAGTGAAAATAGTTCACAGCAAAAAGGGGGAAAAAACAGTAA